TATAAACTCTTCATGATATTTTTTGGATTTATGTAGTAATTTAAGTGCAATAGGCCGGGTATATCTTTGATGCATGTTAAACCAATTAGCGTGATACACTGTCGTAAATCCGCCTTGCCCTATTTCCTTAATATCTTTAAATTCACTATAAGGAATCCACAATAATGAATATTTTTTTTCAAGTAGTACTTTTTTTAATTCACTATCGATATCAGAATTTTCATGCAACCATTTACTTGTAGCTAAAATTGATTAGTTATTAATTTTTAAATCATCTGTTTTTGATATACAAAATATCCAAAGTTACCTAATAATTTTCTTCTTTCTCTATTTAATAAAGCAAATATACTGTTAACATGGAATCTGTAAAAACTCTAAAGAATTCTGATAGGAACTGTCTAATGGTATATTTTAATAAAAATAGAATGCTTACATTTGATACCAGTAATTTGCATTTTGCAAATCTCTTTTTACTCCAATTCCGTTTCTATAACAATTAGCTACTGCAGATATTCCAATAGCAAGTCCCATATCAGCAGATTTTTGATAATAAGTAAACATTTTATGTTCATCTTTTTCAACTCCAATCCCATTTCGATAACATTGCCCAACCATATATACCCCTTCGTCAACGCCCATATCAGAAGATATCTGATAATAAATGAATGCATTATTTTCATCCTTTTCGGTTCCAATTCCATAATGATAACAATAACCGACATTGAATATTCCATCAGCAATACCCATATCAGCAGATTTTTGATAATAAGTGAATGCCTTATGCACATCCTTTTCAACTCCAATTCCTTTTTCATAACAAACACCAAGTGCATAAAATCCTTTAACATTACCAATATCAGCAGACTTTTTGTAATAAATGAATGCTTTATGTTTATTCTTTTCAACTCCAATTCCGTAACGATAACAATTACCAACATCGTAGATTCCATTAATATCGCCCATGTCTGCAGATTTTTGATAATAAATGAATGCTTTATTCTCATCCCTTTTAACTCCGATTCCATGATTATAACATTTACCAACATTATATGTTCCATTAGCATTACCCATATCAGCAGACCTTTGATAATAAATGAATGCTTTATGTTCATTCTTTTCAACTCCAATTCCGTGACGATAACAATTACCAACAGCATATGTTCCGCCTGCATTACCCATATCGGCATATTTTTGAAAATAATTAAATGCCATATGTTCATCTCTCTCAACTCCAATTCCATTCAGATAACAAACACCAAGGTTATACATTCCATCAGGAACACCCATCTCAGCAGATTTTTGATAATGAATGAATGCCTTATGTTCATCCTTTTCAACTCCAATTCCACTTTGATAAAAATATCCAACATTGTATGTCCCATTAGCATTACCCATCTCTGCAGATTTTTTATAATAATCAAAAGCCATATGTTCATCCTTTTCAACACCAATTCCATTTTTATAGCAATTACCAACACTGTAAACTCCACTAGCATCGCCCATATCAGCAGCTTTTTGATAATAGATGAATGCCTTATGTACATCCTTTTCAATTCCGATTCCTTTTTCATAACAAGCACCAAGTGAAAATATTCCATTAGCATAACCAGCGTTAGCAGATTTTTGAAAATAAATGAATGCCTCATGTTCATCCTTTTCAGTTCCAATTCCGTGACAATAACAATAACCAACATTATTAATAGCACGAACATAACCCATATCGGCAGCTTTTTTATGATAAATGAATGCTTTGTACTCATCTTTTTCAACTCCAATACCAATTTTGTAACAATCTCCAACTGCAGCCATTCCACTAGCATCACCAATATCAGCTGATTTTTGATAATAAATGAATGCCTTATGTTCATTCTTCTCAACCCATTTACCGAAAAGATAGCAATCTGCGAGAATGATCTGAACTGTAGGATTGACATTATCATTTAAACACCAATTAATAACTCTGTCTGGATTTAACTTCTTTTTTGCTAGAAATTGATCCAATATGTCAGAAATTGATTCGAAATTTTTGCTTTTCGATTTTTCTTCAGTATATAGATTGCACAATTCTTCAACAATTTCACTATTAAAATCTTGTGGCTTAGCATTATCCAATAAGTTGACAATTTTTTCTGGCTGTTCTGTATTTAAATTCTCTGACATTTTGAAAGCAAGAAAAAAATTTTACGAATTATTATAACTTTTATACGCCTAAGAGTGATAGCCGTAATAGTTTAGAAAAAAAATTTTTAAAGCTGAGATTGGTATTGTAAAACGTTAAACCGAAAATCTAATACCATAAATTTGTACAAGTTTTTAAATAGAAATGTATGACATTGGGACTGAGCTACCATACCAAAAATGGATAATTATTTTGGTAAATACGTAATAGTGTTTTTAACATGTGCTTCAGATCAGTTTATTAATAATAAATACCATTTTACGTTTTCATTTACATATATAAGATTATTAAATTCTTTTGTATATTTCAATCAAAATATAATAAATAGGTTTGGGTCAAAAACTCGATAAAAAAAAATTACATCAAATATCCCAACAAGTATTCCTTGAGCAATTTTACTATACATTCGTCTAAACCCTAACCCTAACCTATGCACTCGACTAACTCTAACCTAACTTAAATGAACTTAATAATTTTTTGTCGTCAGGGTTTGACCGGCACCATCATAAAATTACTTCGTTTTATGATTGTCCTGTCCGTACCAAAATATTTGATTGGTTAGAACTAACCCTTTACGTTCATGTCAAACAGATTCTGTTCAACCTTTTGATGTTCACTAATCCTTTTTGGTAATGGTTTAATTTCCAATATGGGTTCATTGTGTTAATTCTCACTTTCCCAAATCCTACCCTCCCGAAATACCATTTCCCGACCCCATAATTCCGATATCCTTTTTTCCTGACAAGACATATTTCTGACAGTATATTTTACTGAAGAAAATTTTTTTCCCGACATAACCAATTCCCCGACAATCTGAATTTCTGAAAAATTTTATTCAATAGTCTTTTTTACCGACAAAACCCTTTTTCAGAACTCCTGTTCTCCAGACAAAATTTTTTCTGAAGCCTTTTCACCAACAAATTTTTGATATATTTCTCCGAAAGGATATTTATCCGAAAAGATATTCTCCCGAAAAGATATTCCCCAAAAAGAATACCTCACCAAGATGTCTTCTCGATTAAACAAAATTGCATAAATCAGGCCAACTCAACATAAACTAGGCCAACTTTGTCGGTGAAATGGCTGTTAGTGAAATGGTTGTCAGCAAATTAGTTTTTACCTTTTTCGGGTTATTAGGTGACCCAGAATGCTGTAAATTTGGTAAAATAACTTTCGGTAAAAGAGCTTTTGGTAATAATTGTGATATAGATAGGGCTAAGACATGCAAAATAAAGTTTTCATTTTGCATTACTGCTAACCCATTTTTTAATTTTTCAAAAAAATTTTTTTGATTTTTTTAAAAACCAATTATGCCAATTATTCTATTTTTGCTATTTAATTTTTCCATAAATCACTCCAGTATTACCCAACAGAGAACTTAACTTTCTAAATTATTCGTTAAGACTGATAAAAAAAAGCGAAAAATTAAATTTTATATAATCTTAGATAAGAACATGTGTCTATTGATTTATAATAAATCAATAAAAAAAAAAATCCGGCTAACCAACTGGAGAATTTGAAATCCATGATTGTTTTCATAGTAATTTGCTATAAAAATCTTAGTTACTGTACTTACAGACTATTGCATGAGTGATCTTGATAGAATTATATTGGTTTTGTACTAGACTTATCATGATTTTGTCAATGATTTGCTGTAAAAAGTTCGGCTACTATATTTACTAACTATTGTGATTGTGTAAATGATTTAGATAAATTATGTTAGCTTTATAATAACTTATCATAGTTACTGTACTGTTGAACCTCCCAAAATCGATAACCTGACAAATCTGATAAAAAATTAGTCTACCAAATCCGTTTCCGTTACACAAATCTAATAGTTTATAATGTTTTCAAATCTGATAACCTCTCAATACCGATACAAAATCTGTCCACCATGCGTACCGGTTTTGGGAGGTTCAACAGTACTTACTAACTATCGTGGTTGCATATGTGATTATGTTAGTTTTTGTAATGAACTTATAATAATTTGTATAGTGCCATAGTGATCTGTTATAAAATCTTAGTTACTGTGCTTACTAACTTTGTGGTTGCATAAGTTTTAAATAAATTTATCATTATTTGTATAGTGGCTTGCTGTAAAAAGGTTGGTTATTTACTGGCTACTGTGATTGTGTAAATGAATAATAGAGGTATATTAGTTGTAATAGGCTTATTGTGATTTGTATAGTTTTGCAGCAAAATGTTTAGTTATTAACTTACTCACTATGGCAATATATATAATTTAGATAGAGTTAGTTTCGTTTTGTAATTGACTTATCATGATTTGAATATTAATTTGCTATAAAAAAATCAGGTTATTATATTTACAAACTATTGTGTTGCAATTACTATACTTAATGATTAATGTAGTTGTATAAGTAATTGGATAGAATTGTATTAGCTTTGTATTGATCTGCAGAATTATTGGTTTAGTGGGTTAAATTTGTATTGAATCAACCATAATTTGTATAGTAATCAGCTATAAAAACTTGATTACTATTTTATTGTAGTGGCATAGTGATTTAAAAAGATCAACTATATAGTATAAGCTATTTAAATATAAAAAATAAATTAAGAAAACGGAATTGCAATGTTTTTAAACTATTTATATTGCTTTCTATTAAACTTTATTTTACCGAACAATTTTTAAAATTCATTTTATTTGAAATTTAGAATCTACTTATATAGTTCAGAATTTATTTAAATGGGTTTTGAATATATTGAACTCAAAATTTATCATCTACAATATGTATAAGATCTTTATCTTAGAATAAGATCACTATCATTTTAAGCTCACTTTTTTAAAAAATTTCAATTATATTTATTTGGAATCTTGATCTTCAATTCGTTTGATTATATTTTCAAAGAACTATAATTAGCGACAAATAAAATGTCAATTCAATATTATTATTGAAAAAATAAAATAAACATAAATAAAATATATAGTAAATAATAAATTCGTAGAAAGAATACATACAATTCTGCGTTTAATACGCCAAAAATTCTTGATCAATTTAACTCTATCTTTTGCTAATTCAACACCTAAACTTTTTAAATCTTGAGAATTCATCTCCAAAATATCTTCAAATTTTTTATTTTTAAATAATGGAGCAATTTTTTTCATTCTAATTAAGTCTAAGTACGCAGGAAAATCTAAATAAGAAATAAGATAATGAATTATGTGCAGTTATAACAAAAACAATCAATTATATAATCTGAATACCTTCTAAAGTTTCTTTTCCATATAACTGTTTCCAATCCCTCAGGAATTTTTTTCTCGGAATAGGCAATCCAAATTTCATTGCCTAAAAAAAAAAACAATATTATAATCGATAGCCCTTAAAAAATGTGAATTTCTAAATATAGCCTTTGTTATTGTCAAAGCCTATAAAAGATAATTTTAAAATTCATTGAAGATAGTTGATTAAATATACATAGTCAACATGAATAACCCAAAAATGCGATCCTAATATTGATCTTGTAACATGATCAGTAATTCCCAACTTTTCTAAATCCTTATCATCCATTTCTATAATTTCTTGCCATTTCTTTCCTTCAAAATGATGTGCCAAATTTTGCATATGCAGCCCTTTAAGCCATTTGGGAAAATCTAAAAAAAAAAAAAATTAGATAATTTTAAAAAAAAATTCATCGAATTTGATCAGATGATTATCGAGATACCTTCAATCAAAGATATAGAAAATTTTGCCGCAGCTTTTATTTTGATAGACGTTTAGATTTTTTTAAAAACTTTAATAGAAGGTATCTCGACGACCACCTGATCGAATTCAATGAATTTTTATTTTATTATTATTATTATTATTATTTTATAGAATTCTACATCTATGCAGAATTCAAATAAAAATTAATTCATCGAATTTGGTCAGCTGGTTATCGAGATATCTTCGGTCAAAGTTTTTAAAAAAATCTAAACGACTATCAAAATAATAGCCACGGCAAAATTTTCTCTAACTTTGATTGATAACCACCTGACCAAATTCGATGAATTTTTTTTTATTTGAATTCTGCTTACTTGTAGAATTCTAACAAAAAATTCATTGCATTTGATTAGGTGGCCATCAAGATATCTTCGATTAAAGTTTTAAAACAAGTGATTTACACGGATGTGTAAATATCATTCGTCTTTAAAATAAGTATATACTGTATATACATCTTTAAATTTATGGAAATACCTTCTAATAATTCATAATTAACATGATTGTATATATTTTCTTTTAGAAATTTAATTCGATTATCAATAATTTTTTCTGCTGAAATGGCACTTATACGATGTTCTTGTATATTCGATTTCATGAAAGTGTTATCATTACTGTTGCTTGCATTTTTAGTGATATTTTGGGCAAGATTTCGTCTAAAACTAACTATTAATGATTTAACAGTAATAAGTTGTTTATAACAATTATGAATATTGGTTATTTACTTATGAATTTGATAATACACGTCACTCTGTTTATATCGACATTAGTAAAAAAAATTCAAAATGTCGGTGTAGTGAGTTATACTGACATTTTATATTAAAATTTTTGAAAAAAATGTCAGTATAGAAAGATTTTACTACGATGTGTTATATCCAGATGTCGGAATACCCAGAGTAGGATGGGTTCAGCTACGAACGGTTACAATTATTCATGGCCAATTTGCTAAATACTGAGATGATTTTTTATTTTTGAGTTTTTAATAAAAGTTGTTCGGAATTAAATTTTGTCCATCCCAAATTATAAGTGAAAAGAACGATACCTTCTCTGGAACTCTGAATTTTTAAATTTGTAACGTCATAGTCGGCTATTAGTAGGTGGTTAGTAGCCGGCTATGACGTTAACAAATTTTAAAATTCAGAGTTCCAGAGAAGGTATCGTTCTTTTCACTTATAATATGGGGAATTTTATTCTGAACAACTTTAATTAAAAACTCAAAAATAAAATATCATCTCAGTATTTAGCAAATTGGCTATGAGAAATCGTAGCCGTTCTAGCCGAACCCATCCCTAACCCAAAGTGATGTGTATTGAACATTCAAATATAGATTTACCGTAACTAATATTTAAATTTATTATGGTCCTTAGCGTTGAGGTGAAAGTCAATGATGCCATTGCTATTGTTATATTTCATAACATTTTCGTGATAAGATTATCTTTATATTTTGCTACGTAAATCAATTTTTTATCAGTATTCAAATTCTGAGCAACCCGATTTTACGGGAAATGTCGCACAGATACCTTATTTGAGAAATCATCCCTCCGATTGGTGTACGTATTTCCTTTAAAGGCTATGATGCATAACTATGAGTGGATCTAACATCTTTCCTAAGCATCTTTCTAAACTTATGGCATCAAAAATATTTACGGGCGACATACCCGAATTAATGGAAACCATTCTCAATAATTTAAATTATGATTTTGGTTCCTTATATTCGTGCGTACTTGTGAACCGATTTTGGTGCAAAATGGCAATTCCAATTCTTTGGCAAGATCCATTTTCAATCAATCAAAACAAACGAAACCTATTTTCATCCAGATCAAGCCCATTATTCATTACTCAATATTTTTCAAATCTCGAAGATGACGAAAAACTCGGTTTAAGAGTATATGGAATAAATTTAGAATTTTCTGAAACAATATTTGAGTATGCAAGTTTCCTAAAGGTTCTTGATCTAAATAATTTAGAATGTGAGGTTACAAGATGGTATAACCTCGAGCGAGATTGCGACTCAATGAATTCGGAATTAGATTACGATGGTTACTCAGAGTATGAACTAGATCACGACTATTATTATAATTACTCAGAGTATGAACTAGATCATGATAATTACTCAGAATATGAACTAGATCACGACTTACAGAATTCGGAACTAGGTTACGATTCGCAGAATTCAGAACTAGATTACGATTCACAGAATTCGGAACTAGATTACGATTCACAGAATTCTGAACTAGATTATGACTCACTGGGTTTTGCAGCAAATTATGATGCACCAATACTTATGTTATTTATCGAAAGCGGCGCCATTCTGCATACATTAGGTTTAGAATTTTCTCCTTTTTTTAGAATTAAATCAGAAATCTTTTACTTATTAAAAGAAAATGAAGAATTTTTTTCAAGAATTCAAGATTTATATTTGAAAACGCTACCAAATCGAACCAGTATTTTATTTGTTACTCCATTGTTAAAAATCTTGGCAAAAAATTCAATGAAAATTGGTACTTTGGAAATTGACGGATTTCGAGATGTATATGAACCGCAATTATTTCGTGCTCTTATACGTATTATTAAATCACAAGAGCAACTTAAGAAATTTAAATTAACTGGATTTTCTGACTTTATATTTCTTAAAAAATTCTACGGCATAGTTTTAGCTTTAGAATGTCAAAAAAGCTCATTACAAGAAGTTATAATAGAAACCTGTGATTGTAGTAATGAGCTCGAGGTACTGAAACATTGTAAAAATTTAGAAATTCTTCGTATCAAGAATTGCAGAAATTATGAATTGTCGAAAAAATTAAATTATAAAGTTAACACTTTAGAGATAGATAATTGCTCGATTGATTCTACTACTATAGTACAAAGTTTAGCAGAGTCCGGCACATTACTACAACGCTTATTACTAAAAAAGTTATCGGTAATTTGGTCAGATGCTTTACTAGGAGCAATTAAGTCCTTCTGTCCAAACATTACATATCTAAACCTTTCGAATTTTGAATTTTCCACGCACCTCATAGATCTTATTGGTGATTTACAAAAACTTCAATTTCTCACGTTACAAGACATTGTTAATGTGCCGGAAAAAGAACGAGTTAAGCAGTTTGCAGAAATATTGCCATTAACATTGCAATATCTTAACTTAGATAATAACACTTGGCCAGAATTATATATAGATATTTTGCTCAATTATTGCAATGCACCTTTAAGAAGTCTGATAGTTTATCGCCTTGATATGGAGAAAAATACTAAAGCACTAATTGAATTCTGTATACGAAACAGAATTTTGAGTTACTTGAATGTGCGGAATTTGAATAAGGATTATGTAGAAGCAGTTGAAGCATACGTTAAAATTATACCATATGAACAGATTGTTGTTAATTGCTAATTTCTATATTGTGTATCAAGTCATTTTATTCGTGTTATTACATCGAAATTGTGGAATTAAGGAAACTAGCCGGAAATGACGGAAAGATGAATTTGAATGGTGGAAAGTTGGGTTAGTTGCTGCAGATCTCGGGTGCAAAAATTTTGAGTGTTTAGTTTTGAACTGATTAATAATAAATTTAGCGATTGAATACTTTAATTGGGACGCAATTCTTGAATGTGCCAGGTTGGTGGCGCATTAATTAGCCATAGCAATCTCATTTATTCAGTACATTCCAGTATTCGTATAAATTTCGAAATTCTACACTAAGTGCTTCATTAATTGTCCTATATTTTGTAAGTTTTCTATTTTCCTTTGTGAAATATAAGGTTTAAAAGTTTAAGTTCAGAGTTCATTATAAAAAAGTTCATTATTAAAAAAGTGGTTATACTCTACTCGTAAGTAGAGTATATACGGATATTATTGCAGTATTTCGAATGAATAGCCTATTGCCAACAAGGTAAGCCAAACGGGAGGAACCGTTGATGTTACACAACTGATTTTACACACGGTGTGAAACACATAAAAAAATTATTTTACAATACTTGATCAGTCAGCTAGTACATGTTACGATTATAATCCAACATCATTTTTTATAATAAAAAATGGTGTTGGATTATAATCATAACTTGTACTAGCTGACTGATCAAGTCCGATCAAAGTATTGTAAAATAATTAAAATTTATTGATCATACCAAAATAAAACTGAATTTTATTACGAAAGTATTCACCATCCCTGCTCAACACTTACGTTAACAAAGCTTGGTTTTAAAAGTGAACCCCTTTAATAGTGTAACCATCTTAAGGAAGATCTTAATTCCGATGGTTGACATTAGGTCACATGAGCTGGACAATAATTATGGTATTCGGAGATTCATGATTTATTAGTATGGATGGATTGACGGATATATTACAGAATTCGATTATTGGGGAAGCAAATGGGATAGAAAGGGGGAGGTAGTTGTTTGTTTAAAAGTCTTGTTAATTCTAAAGACATAAACCAAGAATTTTTAGAAGAAGTAAGTATAATAGTGTGTTTTTATTAAAGTGTAGTAATCTTATTTATACTAATATTTTATTAGGTTAAAAATCAACATAAACATGGGAACGATTCAGCCATTGCGATTTATAGAATAATTAAGAACCCAAAAGATGGTAACTACATGATGGTTTTTGAATACGCAAACAATGAAGTCTCAGAAAATTGCTAAATTATAAATATGATGAATTTGATTGGGCTTCTAAAGTAGCTAACTTATATTACATAGATCAAGCCCATTATTCATTCTCATTACTTTTCATCTCTTGAAGACGAAAAATTTGGTTTAAAAGAATATGAAATAAATAGAAAATTTTCTAAAACACTATTTGATTATGCAAGATTTCTAAAATTCTTGATCTAATTAATTTAGAATGTGTGGTATAATCTCGAGTTAGGTTACGACTCAGAATTCTTCGGAACTAGAATATGAAGATTACGACTCATCTAATTCTTCGGATCTAGAATATGAATATTACAACTCACCGAATTCGAAGCCAGATCACGACTCACAGAATTTGGAATTAGATTATGATTCACAGAATTCGGAACTAGATTATGATTCACAGAATTCGGAACTAGATTACGACTCACCAGGTTCAGAAGCAAATCACAATGCACAATAAATCGTATAATTAATTTATTACTTAAATTATTTATCGAAAATGGCGCCATTTTATAGAATTAGATTTGGATTTTTTTGAATTAAATCAGAGATCTTTTACTCATTAAGAGAAAATAAACAATTTTTCTCACGACTTCGAGGCTTATATTTGAGAAAATTACCAGACCGAAGCTGTAATAAATTTGTTATTTCACTATTAAAAATCTTGGCAAAAAGTGCTATGAAAATTAGTACATTGGTAATTGACGGACTTTGTAATGAGTATAAGCCACAATTATTTCATATTCTTATACACGTTATTAAATCACAAGAGCAACTTAGAAAATTTAAATTATCTGGTTTCCAATTTCATAAAAAATATTACAGCACAATTTCAGCTTTAGAAGTTACAATAGAACGTTGTAATTGTAATGCTGAACTCGAAGTACTGAAAAATTTAAAAATTTGGAAATTCTTCGTATAAGATGTTGCAGAAATGAATTGTTGAAAAATTAAAATATAAAGTTAGCAACACTTTGGAGATAGATAGTTGCTCGATTGATGTATCAACCATAGTACAAATTTTAGAAGATTCTGGCATATAACTACAACGCTTACATATTATTGTAAATGTACTTAAGCCAATCAAACTATAAAACTCAATTTATATTCACAAAGCTTAGGATTTTATCTGTTTATTTACAAAAAATGGTAGTTTTATAATTATAAAGATCTCATTATACAATAATTAATTGTAGAATTATAAACTGATTTAGAATATTATAAAAGCAAAAATCATTAAGTGTAATAATTGCCACGGATTATTATGCTCATTCCTTAAAATAATTTAATTTAGATGGTGTATTATAGTTATTAGTCATAATGTTATCGATTATATAAATTGACTTTATTTAGGAATGGAAAATGTATAAATGATTTAGTGCAATTCTTCAATGTGTGCCAGATTGATGCGCATAAGCCACAAAATCCGTCATATCATGCGTGAACTTCTAAATCAATATAAATTTACGATCTTTGACAATACCCACAATAATAATAATAACAATACCAATAATTTCATATTTATTTAACATTATAAAGGAGTTAAATTTAGAATTATTAAATTTTAAAGCATTAAACTCTTGTATTACTAAAAAATATTAAAACAGCAGATTATGAAAGTAAAAATTTGGTGAAATAATGTATTTTAATTTTTTTTAAATGCAGTAAATAATCAATTTAATTAAGTAAACTTGTTCTACATATAAAAAATATTATATTAGCATGAATTTACTTTATAATTGTAAAATTTAAAAAATAGATGTTTAATTTTGAATTTTTGATCAAAATTTCAAAAATTAAGAATATTTTCCTTAAATTTAAAATATAATGTAAACATATATGAATATAGTGTAGTTTTATGTATAAAACAAGTTTACTTAGAGCATGAAGATATAATTAATTATAAAATTTTGAGAATCAGAATATTTTATCCCTTAAAATGTAAGCAATTCCAGGCAAACTTGTCTGGAAAATTTCTATAAATTTGTTTATAATTTACTTTTTTTAAAATTTAAAATATTTAAATAAAGATTTTTTTAATAATATTTGAAATTAAGAATTATATTATCCCTTAATCTGTATTCCAGGCAAATTTGCCTAGAAAATTTAAAATATATAATAAATTCTATTGTCACAATAAACTGTACTAATTAAAAGCCCTCTAATGCATGATTTTCCATAATCAGAAGAATCTGCACTTTCATTTGATGATAAATTTTCAAAACAAATTTGCCTGGAATACAGTACAAAATGACTTACAATACAGCAATGTTAACGATCGCTAGTGATTGACATACCTAAATTAGTGTATACGTATATGCTCTATTCTTGATCTGTTGCCCTTTTCAAAATATATACGAATGAGAATCTAAATTAGTGCTACCGCAGAGCTCTACTATTGTTCTTATGATCAAAAAATTGCACATACGAACATACATATGTATGTTTATATATACATATGTATATATTCAGATCTTTACTCTCTTTATCGCATGTGAAGGAATATTTATTGTTTGGCATTCAAATGACTGAGTAATCGCTTTGTACGTAAAATATAAATAACCTAAAGAAGTTTTGTGGGATTCCATATGTGCTCTTAGATAGTTGATGAACTATTGTTTTGTCGTATGCTATTATTTTTTTTATTTTGTTTTTATAACAAGTCTCTGGTTGAGACAGTGTGCAGTAGTCTGCATTTATCGCTTTATATCTCACCATACAAATGCACAAACCTGACCAACTCAACTTTGCTTATCATTCTTTAAAATAAAATTCATAACCACATTCATTTTGTTAAAAAAAAAGTTTGACCCTGACATCAATCCTTTTTAAAATTTATTTAATTCAGTACTACTTTTTACTATTCAAAAAATTAATAAATAAATAAAATAAAATAAAAGTTATTTTGTCTATTGATGATACAACCTTTGATTATACAGCCTTTAATGAAGATTCTGAATTGCAATATTTATTTACTTTCGAACATTACCATCATGGTGAATTGATGATCAACCACGAACTAGTAATAGCTAGTGGTAATGAAATTAATGAAAAGGTACATGAATCTATAGAAGAATCAGATAAAGAAGCAAATAGTGAAGTAGGCATCGGGAGTAGTAGAGAGAAAGGGAGGGGTAGTGCAGGGGTAGAGGTAGAGGTGGAGGTGGAGGAAGAGGAAGAGGGAGGGGTAGCAAGAGGGTAGAGGGAGAAAAAAAAATGAACAAAGTAGCCATTTAAATTTGGAATTATCATCATTAGAATTACCTACTTTTACTCTTATTCATAATCACCATTCACTTCATAGAGGATATGCAAAACTTCCCCATAATTTTTAACTAGATATCATATCTCCACTTTCACTTTTTCAATTATTTTTTACTGATGAACAATTGCATTTAATAGTCAAGAATAGTAATATATACGAGCTAGTAAAGAGTAGAGAAAGTGGTCAGGTTTGGACTCCATTAACCTTAAGTGAATTGAAAGTTTGGCTTGGACTGATTATCTACATGGGAGTTCATCATATTAATGCGATAGAAGATTTATGGAATCAAGACAATAAAATAGCAAATCATGAAATTAAAAGATTTATATCTCTATATAGTTTTCAACAAATCAAACAATTTTTTCATATATCAATACCAGGCCAACTTCATTCAAATTAGTATCCAAAAGTAGAACTATTAGTATCACATATTCAAAGTACAGTTAAAAGATTTTATGTTCCTAGTTCACAGGTAACAATAATAAAATGATTGTATGTTTTTTCAGGCAAAGTATTCATATAGTAAGGATGAAAAATAAGCTGACCCCAGAGGGGTACAAGATTATTTCTTTCTGTGATTATAGTTATACATGAGCATTTGTATTTACATTATGAGTTGAAAAAAATAACTTAATAGAATCTATTCCTGGCATAAATAATATTGGATGCTTGGTTGCACATTTAGTGCACATGCTTCTTAATGATAAAATGTATCACATATATATGGATAATTATTTTAACAGTATCTCGCTTTTTAAATATTTACGTGATAAGGGTATTGGGGCATGTAATACTGTTCGTACGAATTCAGCAAGTTTTTCTAAAAAGTTAAAAATTGGTAAAGAAATAGCATTAGATTGGGATACACTTTTTGAAAAAATAGTTAATAACATTTTGGCTGTTTTCTGAATGGACAATGGTCCCGTGACTATGCTAACTACAATACATAAAATTGGCAACGAAAACTAGAGGTTACTTGTAACAGGCGGCAACCTCATAAAACAAGATCCAATTCAAATACAGTATGTCGAGTTTTTGGAGATACACATTGAAAAGAATTGAAGATCCTGTGAATAATTGATGACTACAACTATTACTTGGGTGGGGTTGATATTGCTGATCAACTTCGTGAATATTACAGCTATCAATTAATAGTTAGATACACTTTGCTTCTTTTATTCTTTTGGATTCTTGATACTGTACTTGTAAATTGTGTAATTCTTTATCACAAAGTAACTGACTCAGATATATTAAGTAGAGATTTTAGAATTAACTTAGTATGGAATTTGATCAAAGAAACTTTAGATAAAAAAAAAAAAATAAAGAACCTCAAGAACTTCAAACTTCATCAAAAGAAAAATGAGTTATTGTAAATAAAAATTTTGAATTACCTTTAACTCACTTATTGGAGAGTGACCATCTTGTTAAATGAAAACAAAAAAGGGAGGCATGTGTTTATTGCTGTAATTTGGCATAACATGGCGAAATAGCTATTAATTCTGACAATCCACTACAAAGCAAACTTTATTGCAATAAGTGTAAAGTACCACTGTGTTGCTCTAAACCAAGACCAAATTGCTTTAAAGATTTTCATTCAAAAAGTAAAAATTAATTTTATATAATTAGTCAACTATTTTTCTAATTAGTACCTGTAATAAGAAAAGGTATTTCAAATTCGTTTAAATAATTGAAGTGTTCTGAATAAGTTTTAGTAAAATAAGATGTAAAAAAAATAAAAATAAAAATAAATAAATAAAAATAAATAAATATGAAATAAAAATAAATAAATAAAGAAATTTTAAGTTAATTCAAATTCACAATTTCAAATGAGGTTGATGGTTAGATAATATTAATCTATTCAGACAGCCACAAAATCGAATAAGAGTTGGGTTAACCAATTAAAATTGATACCTTACATCAAATCCAGATAATTTATTTGTACATACAACTTGACATTAAATTATTGACTTCATTGAAAGTCTAAATTAGGATGCTGCCTTTTTTAGATTTAAAATTTTCTGATTTTTTCAATATTACTGTTATAGTAATATGTGCATAAATAAACCCCAAATATTTACTGCCATGTAACACTCAAATTTTCCAGGCAAATTTGCCTAGAATACAGTACAGAATGATTTTTAAATACTACGAATATGATTTAAAAAAAAAACAATAAAATAATTAATTTTAAAATAGGGCATATTAATATAAATTTTCTAGACAAATTTGTCTAGAAATAATTTACAGATTAAGGGATAGTAGTATTTAATTTTATATTATAAGAAAAAAAGTTTAGGTTGCTTATAAGCTAAAAACAAATAAATTTAAAAAATAATTTAACTAAAAAAATTATTTACAAATTCTTGATGAACTCTTTAAATATTAGTTTTAAATTTATAGTTCTTCATACAATATTGTAGTTTATCTAAAGAATAACAACTTTTATTATTATATATTTAATGGTTTACTAATAAAAATCAAAACTTGTATTAAAAGCAAAAAATTATTTAAAGATGAAAACATATAAAAATTTAGAAAATTTAAAGAAAAATTTTATAGTAAAAATTTTTAAAACAAGAGCTTTAGATTTTTATTACTCTAAAAAGTTTTAGTAAAATTAAAAAAATTTCATAATAAAGCTTATAAAATATTTTTAAATAAAATATTGCATATAAAATATAGCTCATGTTATTAATAATTTTTAATTTTATTTAAAAAATTGTAAATACTTTTAAAATTCTAGATAAATTTGCCTAGAAAACAGTTTAAGAGATAATTTTATCAATAAAATTATGAAAAATATTATTAATTTCAAATTTTTACTGTATAAATCTCTCTTTAACTTCTAATAAAGTTATAGAGTAAGTATCTTGTATTAAAATAAAAGTTAAATCATTAAAATTAGCCTAGTGGATTATGAAATATGAGTATTTTAGTTTTAATAGCTATTTGTTTTTTTTTTATTAATATTAAAAAAAAATACAAAAACTAAAATACTTATATCTTATAATTTACTAGGCCAATTTTAATATTTTAACTGCTATTCTAATTGCAAGATACTCTTTTACAACTTTTCTTAGAAGTTGAAAATAAGTTTATATAGTAAAGAAAAAATTTTTTTAAAAAACTCTAATTTTAAAAATTTTAAAGACAATAAAAATCTTTTTATATTTTGTTACTAAACAACTACTAAACCTAAACATGATCATAATCCTTGAACTAAACTAAAACTTTAACTTCAGATTTAGTTCAGATTTATAAATTCAAAATTTAGTTTAGATTCAGATTCAATAATCTACAAAATTTGTAGCTCGTTTAGGTTTAGGTTTAGATTCATTGAACCTGAATCTAAACAACTAAATCTAAGAACCCTAGTTTAAATAATATTAAAATTAGCAAATTGGATTATTAGATAATAGAACAATTACAAAAAACAATTTGTATAATAAGATTTATTAAAATAGTTTTTTGTAATTATCTTATAATCTAATAATCCAAATTTGATAATTTTTATATTATTTAAACCACCTTATTGAGATAAATAAATAATATTAAATTACCAAATTTGGGTTGGTTTTTTTAAAAATATTTTATAATTTAATAATCCAAATTTAATAATTTTATACTATTTAAACTATTCTATCAAAATAAAGTAAATAGTTTTAAAATTTTTAAATTTGAATTACTATTAATATAATTAAATTTTTATTAAATTTAATAAAATATTAATATTTTATAGTGATCTAAAATTAATAATTTTGATATTATTAGATTTATTTTAATAAGACAATATTGATAGCACTAAATTTATATTGTTATACAAGCTAGTTCTTGTTTTATTTAATCTATAAAAGTATCTATTTCAAAACAATATTATATTTAACTCATTTTTTAATAAAATATACATTATCAGGTTTTTTTATACATATTATTAAAAAGAGATTATCTAATGTATTCTGAAATAGAGTAAAATTTAGAAGTTAATATATAAAAAAAATAAGCTATTGATATATATAAATTGTTTGACAACCTATAATATCTCTCTATATATATACTAACTATGATTTGATTTACTAGTATTTTAAACATCCTAATATAATGATTACAAATAAGTGCTATTAATTGCAAGTTTGCTTTTATAAACTTTATTTAGATATAGGTTTCAAACATGCAATTAAAAGACAACACTTTATTATAAGGCTTATTTAGTTAAAAATATTAACTATATTTGCATTATAATTAAACATCTCAGAGCCTACAGTAGAAGTAATAACAATGAAAAGCTAATATGTTTTATGTATAAACAATATATTAAATCATATAATATATTACATTATTAGCAGTACACTGATATACATAGTAGATAGATTATGTATTAGTATTAAGAAGTTATCAGATTTGAAAATATTATTATTATTTTTTTTTTTTTGGTATTAAGGTGACCTCTTTGGTCTGGGGAACTTTTTATTAGAGTATAGACGAAGTTTTGTATG